GAGGCTGTCCCAGGGCCTCAGCCTCCCCCAGGCCCATCCCCCATTTTCTGACCTTGGGCCCTGATTGCTGGTGGCAAAGGCATTCAAAGCTCTGTGGTGGCCTGTCTGGGCCAGCCTCATCCAGGTGATCAAGCGGCTCACAGAGCATGCCCTGTGTGTGGCCCGTCTCCAGAGACCTCCCTCCTGTGCTAACTGGACACCCCTTTCAGCCAGCCACAGCACCCCACCCCACTTGTCCTTCCAACAACCTTTCCTTTTAAAAAATATATATTTTTATTGATTTCAGAGAGGAAGGGAGAGGGAGAGAGAGAGAGAGAAACATCAATGAGGAGAGAGAAACATTGATCGGCTGCCTCTTGCATGCCCCACGCTGGGGAGCGAGCCCACAACCTGGGCATGTGCCCTGTCTGGGAATCGAACCATGACCTCCTGGTTCATAGGTTGACGCTGAACCATGGAGCCACACCGGCCGGGCCAGCAGCCTCTCCTTTTCTTTTTCACTCAAAGACACACGTTCACCAGGGAGAGAGAAAGGGATGTAGTAGGACGTGGGCCAGCTCCCCACTCAGGGGCTCTGTCTCCGTTGGGTCACTGGACTGACTCTGGGAACCCAGCTGTCTCATGCAGACCCCTGTGAAGTGGCCGTCTGGGCCTGGAAACCTGGGGCTCAGTGGGGAACTGTTGTGCTCTCTGAGGAACAGACTTTCCCCCTCACCAAGCCTCTGAAGATGTGCTCACTGTACATACCTGGTCTAGGCCCCTAAGCTGCAGGTGCCAGCAAGTGAGCTACCTTATAGGGAGGACCCCAGACTCCCTGCACCCACCTCCCCTCCTCTCCTCCCCTCTGCCTTCACGATCTGAGCCTCTGCTGCCTGAAACCCCACTGCTGGTACTAATTTCTGTTCAGATCCAAGGTCTGAAGTTGGTGCTAGGTTGTTGTTGTTTTTTAATATTTTTTTAATTGATTTCAGAGAGGAAGGGAGAGGTAGAGAGAGAATCATTAATTGACTGCCTCCTTCATGCCCCACACCTGGGATCGAGCCCGAAACCCGGCCATGTGCCTCACTGGGAATGGAACCGTGACCTCCTGGTTCACAGGTTGATGCTCAACCACTGAGCCATGCCGGCTGGGTGGTGCTAGGTTTTAAGGAGCCAATTCTACTCATCAGTGTAATTAGAGTTTAATGGGAGGGTCCAGGGGACTCTCACAGACACCCAACCATAGGGCTCCAGTGGGGCTTCATGAACTGGGAAGCCACCATCGTTATTCTCTCTGGGGCCCTGGCTGTAGCTGCTCTCCTGCCTCCGTCCTCAAACCCCATATGTCCCATGAGTTGCCTGTGCGCACACCTGAGATGGCCGGGCAGCCCCACATCCCCAGGAAACCCACCTTCCAGACCCAGGACCTTTCATTCAAATTCTCCAGAAAAGCCATCTGAGTGGCCAGCTTTGAGCTAGGTGTCCCCCTTGGTACCAATCAGCTGCAGCCAAGCTTGGGGAGGCGAGAAGGAGTAGCCCCTTATGTGAGGGGTCCCCAGAGAGCAAGGGCAGGCAGTGCAGGGGCGGTGGGGGCTCGTGTCGGGCTTTCACTCTCCTGGGTCCCGCAGGACGCGTGGCGGCCCAGAACATGCTGGCGCAGGAGGCGGAGATCTGCACGGTGCCCTACCTGTGGACAGCCATGTTCGGCAAAAGCCTGCGCTACGCGGGTAACAGGAACCTCGGGACGGGGCGGGGCCAGGAGCCTTTGGGGGCGGGGCTAAGGTGATAGCGGAGTGCGGGGTGGGTGGGGCTTGGAGTTGGGGCGGGGCTACGAGCATCCCAGGGGCGGGGCCACGACAGCTGTAGAAAGTGGTAAAGCACTCACTGGCGGCGGGTACAGGGGGCAGTTAGGAGGGCACAGGACCCTGACCCGGTGGAACCCCAAGCGGGAAGTGGAGTGAGTGTGGACACCGCCCGCCTGCCCGGCCCACAGGGTACGGAGAAGGCTTCGACGACGTCATCATCCAGGGGGATCTGGAGGAGCTGAAGTTCGTGGCTTTTTACACCAAGTGAGAGCAACGGGGTGGGGCAGGGGCACGAAGCCGCAGGACCTGGTCGGTAGGGGGAAATCATCCCAGAGAAGCCTTGCTCCAGAAGAGGGGGCTTCCCGGAGAGGTGGGGTGGACGGAGGGGCGAAGGGAGGGGCAGGCAGGAGACACCGCCGAGGAGAGGTGAGGCGGTGGGGTGATAAGTCCACCTGCCACGCATCGACAGGACATTCGATCCTTAGCACAGCTCTTTGACGTGGGTGTGGCTACCCCGCGTTTACACTGAGGGAAGTCACACAGGTAGACAGTGGGAATCCCAGGACAGGAGCCCAGCCCTGAACCTCCATGGGAGTCCCACAGTAGCCCAAAGCCCAGGTTGGGCTAAAGTGCAAAGCAGCGAGGGTTGGGTGCTCGGGACATCCCTGTTGTCCTGGGTACGATCCCTTCCTGAGTCCCAGGTGGGCAGGAGTGTGTCAGGGTCTCCGAGAAGAGGGTAGTTACCAGGCTCAGCCACCCTCTCCCCACAGAGGTGACGAGGTGATCGCCGTGGCCAGCATGAACTACGATCCCATTGTGTCCAAGGTGGCTGAGGTGCTGGCCTCGGGCCGTGCCATCCGGAAGCGGGAAGTGGAGTGAGTGTGGACACCGCCCGCCTGCCCGGCCCACAGGGTACGGAGAAGGCTTCGACGACGTCATCATCCAGGGGGATCTGGAGGAGCTGAAGTTCGTGGCTTTTTACACCAAGTGAGAGCAACGGGGTGGGGCAGGGGCACGAAGCCGCAGGACCTGGTCGGTAGGGGGAAATCATCCCAGAGAAGCCTTGCTCCAGAAGAGGGGGCTTCCCGGAGAGGTGGGGTGGACGGAGGGGCGAAGGGAGGGGCAGGCAGGAGACACCGCCGAGGAGAGGTGAGGCGGTGGG